ACAGAGGCATGAGTAATATGATTTAAAAATTCAACGATGATATGGTTTTCATATAAAAAAATCTAGTGAATAAAAATAAGTAAAAGACAGTAGAGGTGATTTTTACTAGAAAGATATTTCTTCACATGATTCAGAGAATTGACCAGCAAGTGAAATGACGCTTGAAGAGCATGGTTTTATTCCATAATGAAGGTGCATAGTGCCGAAAAATCTCATTTCCATAAAATGTATTGTTCGTTCTCTCGTGTTACCCAATGGGATAGTCCAAAGATAGAGCTTAATTGAATCTGGTAGATTTCGGTAGTTGTTTAACGGTCAGGAGCCGGAGCCATATTGTTCACTACCTTGAAAATAGTTAGTAGTGCTTTAAATTCAACACGCTGCTGCATTCTGTAAACCCTGGAGTGATCATGGCATGCCTAGTTTCCCAGTAGTTTTCGGACTAAGAAGTCTACGGATACGCCCAATCTTGAACAGTGCATACGAAACACTACGACAAGTCTGCTGAACAAAACTTTCTCGGGAACAATCTGAATTAAACAGTACACCAAGGTTTCGAACTGAATTCGAAAGTAGAAAAAAATGATCACTAACTCGGACTGACTCAATGATCGACGGACTGAAATGAATAATTTCAGCCTTGGAATCATTTAGCACTAGTTTGTTATCAAACATCCATGATCTTATCTCATTGATACAGGCTTCAATGACATCTAACGATACAGATGGATCCTTGCACGTAAAATACAATTGACTATCATGGCATCCAAACCATGTTTAGTAATAATTTCGTCGATTGGAGCGGTATATATAGTGAATAATGCCGGACCCAAAACTGTGCCCCGCGGTACACCACGCTTCGATGGCATTTGGCCAGAAATGCTATTACCTACAAAAACTGACAGACTTCTATCTGAGAGATTCGACCCCAACCAGCCTAAAAGCGGATCTCTAGTTCATTTAACAGCCTCATGTGATCCAGAATGTCGAAAACGGCACTATGGTCAAGGAGTGAGAGTATCACATAAGACTGTGGATCAAGGGCAGTGACTAAGTAGAGCTGTCTGACAGCTATGGTTAGGGCGGTAAGCAGACTGACAGTTAGTATACAGAGAATTTTGGCACAGATATTCATGTAAACAAGACATGACAACTTTTTCTAAGATCTTAAAAACGAAAGGAAGGTTAGAAACAGGACGGAAATTCTTAGGAATATGATCAAGTCAAACTTGTTGTCAAAAGTGGACGGGCATACGCAGTTTTAAACGAGTCTGGCACTATCCCTGTTAAAATGGACTCGTTCACGAGTTCAATGATAGATAGTACTAGGCTATCAACATGCATCTTCAACAAAGCTGTGGGCATGTTTTAGATGGAGCTTCCATGATTAGGTTTTTGATTTCATCCACAGTATCCGGTCTGAAAGTTGTCATGGTGGAAGGTCATGGGGCCTGGTCATCTTGTTGTGATATAGAAGACGTATCAAACTTGTCACACAGTTTATCTACCCTTTCAATGAAGATAGAAGATCCGCAGCATCTTGCTCAGTAGAGACCTCTTCAGGGATAATGTTACTCAGAGAATTATTGTCATCAATGATCTTATTATATAGTGATTTAAAAAAGTTCCTTGGAGTCTGCATTTTGTATTTGGCTCTGGTGATACTTCCGTTTAGTTCTCTCTATTAGGTCATTATACTTCCTTTTCTCCATGTATACAATGTCCTTATTGACCTCCGGGATTGGTGGAAACTGCCTTTCAGTTTTTCACAAATCTTGTCTCGTCGCAGACATTTCAGGTGTAAACCATGTCGCTTTGGGCTTGTCGGTGACTGTCTTCGTTGTTAAAAAAGCTACTCTATCCAAAGCTGAGGTAAGGCAAGCGTCATAGTGCTCAGACTAGGAGAGGATGTTTTATTATTACCACGAGACTTCACTAGTCTATGTCAATCAATTTTCTGTACTGCACAGTTTTACGCAAACATGGAGGGTGGACAGTGTACAGATTAACAATAATCTCACTGTGGTCTGATGGGAGTAAAATCATCAGACTCCCTGGTAAATAGCAAGTCGAGGGTGTGGCCCCAGGAACATTTTGGACAAGCCGGAATGATGCAATCAAGTCCATTAATGTCTGCTCACCAGCGCGGTCACTGGACTCGTATTTAAAAATTGAAATGGCCCCCTGGTCGAGAGATTGCTGCTTTCAATAATGATCTGAAATCTGATACGAAATCATCAACAGTCCATTTATTCTTAGCTGAATAGCGGGGTCTGTAGATAACAAAAACATCAAATAGTTCACTTTTGACACTTCGAGATACTGGAAGGAATGATAGTTCGCAGAACTCCGGTTTATTTTTGCAGCTAGGTTGGTTCTAGGTAAAAGTTCAGCATCCCATCCATTGCGAAATTTCCGGGGCTTGTGAAAAAATTCACACCCTTTTAATCCACGTAATAGCTCACCGACATTGTGGTCAATCCCATATTTAGTCCATGTCTCAGTGACCAAGAAAAAAAAGCTTATTCTCGATGACTGAGGCAGTAAGAGCACCAAGTCTGTCAGTGAAAGGGTATTCCACAACCCAAATTTCATGTTAGTCTTCAAATACTGGCAAGAGACAAATTTTACATTTGTAACACATACAGGTCAGTCAACAGACGATGTGTTGACACGAGAAAAAAATATCAGTTACAACAGGAACGTTGTAAACACTTTTACCACTTCGTTGTCCAGAAAGAACAATAGAACAGGAATAATTTGGTTACTTGGATCAATTTGGTCACATTACATGATTTTGTCTTTTTTGGCTTGTTTCAAACCTTTATTTTAGGGTTAAAGGTGTTGAAATACACAGGTTTAAAGTTAGAAATTAACTCAGGAAAGTAAGACAACTCAGTAGATACTCTATTGTTTTCACAGTTAGTAGCAAAGTTCAAGGTTTAATATTGGTGTTTGGGATAAGTGATCATGATCAATATTCAGCTCATCAGTACTCAGTTCACCAAATTTAAAAACTAAAATAGTCAATATCACAAAAAACTGCATAGAATTTCTAAAATGGTCAATATCACAAAAAACTGCATAGAATTTCATTTCTAAAATCCAATTTTATAAATTAAAAGATACACTATTTAAGAAGTTACATGCTAAGTTATAATCCAATAAAACAATCACAACTTTAAAATAACTTTACCATTCAGGGAACCCACAAGATTTTTCTCTGTAGTCAAGGGCAACTAGCAGCATTAAAATAAATGGCGAATAATTTACACTAAAACTTCTTTTTAAACCAAGAAAACATAAATCAATAACTGTGGGCTCGGATTATTTTACACACCGCGAATATTAGCATTAGGCTCGGATCAGATAGTTTCAGTTTCCGGGATTTCATTGCCCTTTGTTGGTTTTAGAAGCAAATATGGATAAACTTCTATCTTTTAAATCTCTTATTATGATGTATGCTATCGGTCACCTAGGACATTGGTATCATACATTTATTACATTTATATAATAAAATAAATACGCAGCGTGGCACCAAGAGTAGAGACTTTTGGCAAGCGGAATTTTTCCCATCCGTATCACGTATCCATATCGTATCGTTGAGTCAATGTAACCTTAGAGTTTTGGCAGAATTACGCGTCGCGTACGTATGCGTCGCTGAGCTGAGCTTAGTTCTACATGATGTATTACAGCATGATGGCAGATATCTACCAAGATCACCGTAAGTACTAACCTACAATTTCCTGGAAGGACTGAAGTCGCTGGGCTATTAAAAAAATTAATTCTTCGACTTAGATTCGGCAGAATTTTTGGTTTCACTAATGTATCATTTCAGAAAGTTTATGCCCCTTAGAACATAATAATTAGAGATTTGCAAGGTCCCACCTCCCTAAATTTAGCAAGTAGATCAATCAGCATGCAGACAGACAGACAGGAAAAGTGTGAATAATAAAAACGCTATACTACAACATTTCTGCGTCTCAAAGTAGCAAAAAAAGATGACAATTTTATACGGTCCTTTTCCGTATGACAGCTGTTCGATACGTGCTGCCGTATCCATGTGCCGTATTATGTATGAGAAATGCACACACGTTGATGACGTCACACTCAAAATCCATACGGATACGCGATAGGGACCAGGAATTTACGCTTGCCAAAAGTCTCTAATATGTGTACACGTTACTCGCAACCTATACACCACTATACCAACTTACCGTTTGTACTCATATATAACTGTATCAAACCAGATCGAAGCATATGAAACTAGTAATGAAGAATTTTCATCAAAATTATTTGCTCATCACGCAGCACCTGTATATACCTAGTAACTCCAAGTTATTGTACAAAATCCATTTAAAGACTTCATACTACTAGAAATTTCTAAGCGTTTTTTTATTATTATAATGGAAAATTTTTCTAACATATGTAACATAAAATTCTAAAAAAAATGATATCAAATCTGTATAAAATAGCAACAACCTTACACAAATAAACGAAGTACTTTTTAATTGAATTTGTTGGCATGATGTTAACACTGAGCTACGTTTTCTTGTACGTATGGTGTTTTATCTGTAGTTAGCAATCCTTGCTTTTAACATCAGTGTTATGGTATGCTCGTCATATAAAAGAAAGTTATTTAAGGTAAACCATTTGTATGTAATTATGTTGCTGATCACATTACCGTCAGCTTTAGATTTTTGGATGTTCAGAATGAGAAATACTGTTTCATTTACAAACAATCAAACAACTATCAAACCGTCTTTATTCACTACAACATACATAATTCCAATGTAGTGGGATATCTTGGCATCGTAAAAATTATTTTTAATACAGTATTACATACCATGGAATGATGCGAATACCAAATAATTCATGTAAAAAATTTATGTGTAAGCCACACTTAATAATACTATTTCCGTACGACATAAATAAATGTGTCGATACGGATCAGAGACCATAGCTCAAATTACAAGTACATCCTTTTAAAAATAACTTACCTTATTTTTATGTCCATCTGCCGTATTTGTTGACTTTTTTCTCCCTCTTTTCTTTGCTCGCCTTAACGATGTCGTATCCGATTCCATGTCGACTGTACACGACACTCTTTTATTATCCTCATTATCACTGTAGCGTTTACTGTGAGCGTTTGAATCCACGTTCATGAAGTTGTAAGCTACACTTGCCATAACATTACTACACGGAAACATGTAGATGCTTGAAACACAGTGGGCGCTTAATATAATCCAAATGACACACCTTTTAATGATAATTTAACTTCTCTGGAAGTTACCACAATGTTTTTCACAATTTTTGTTCATCACTTTTGAGCATAATCTTTAAGTGGCATTGAGTAACTGGATAGAGTAAAACAAAAACACATACTTATGGAAAAACAGCTACTAGTGTATTTTAAGGCGACGTATTCTCTCAAGGTTATCAAGCGAATGTTATACTCTGAAGTTGTAAATGTAATGCAGATCCAGCACTGATATTTTAATACCGCTTTCTAAAGAGGTTTGAAATCCGTCCTAATAAAAAAAATATAACAGTAAGCAAATTAAGTATGGCATATAGTAAAATTGTCGGTGTACATTTCATAAGTATTTTTCTGTTGTTGTTTTTATTATTTTTTTTAAAAAAAACAACAACCCAAAAACATATCGTTATTATACCGTACAATGATGACAATGCACAATTCTAAAACCACGATTAAGACAGAGATTCCCAAGCAGCACAGCATTCGTTAAGTCGTCCGTTTTAATGAGCAATTGATTTTCTATAGGATTATGTCTCATGGCTCAATGAAAAATCACAGAAAGATTTACTGTTGTATATAATATGTCGTAAAGCATCATACAAAGCATCACAGATACGTGTACTATTTGTAGTGCGAGAAATGGGTGAAACCTGAGTACATAGAATTTTAATATCAGATAGTTAAAACAACCTTTTATTGACCGAAACATTGTATTAATATTCCTGTTTTGGTAATCCTACAAAAGCTACCATGACATGTTTTTACAATCTCGGAAGATAGAGGTAATCAAATCTTAAAAATAGATTCCGGAACTAAAATTCAACCGACTAAGAAGATACCAGACGATTAACTTCATTTAGGAATATAGACATTTAAGTTTTTCCTTCATTGATAAGGCAAATGAAATAATTAATATGTTTATTTGCGTATCCTTATATAAACTTGGGGTTTGGGTGGGGTAACAGAAAAACATAATTTTATATGTCAGTCAATCATTCCTCCAAATCAAGTTAATAAAGACATTGTTTTAAGATAAGTCGTCAGCCGAAATAGAACTGGTTAACTGGAATAAAAACGACTTCTATTTTCAGATAAAAACCTAGACGTTAAGATTTGTGGACGGATGTGAAACGACTTCTAATTTGAGATGTAAATCCCTTTTTTTTAATAAACGTTCGCATTCATATTTAAGATCTACCGTATTGGACTGGTTTGTAACCATTTAACTTTGTTGTATTAATGTATAGAAGAGAAATTTAGTACGAGAACGAGCATGTTAAAAATTACCATAATGATAACGTTTAAATGTAATGAAAAATCTATATAAATTACCTAATAACTAAAAGGACACGGTGGAATAATATTAGAATATTGATCAAAAAATGTATCAATCACCCTGAAGTCACAGATTGTAACGTAAACTAAAGGATAACTTCGGGGAGAGGATTAATTTAAAAACTAAAAAAGGAGACGAATATAATGACTTATATTTCATTATCAAACAGTCAAAAGACGACAATCTATCTAGATTGGGAGATTATGGTAAGTATGTTGAAATTGACATTTTGTGATATTTACGTAATTAAGGTATTTGTTGTTAACATCTTTGTAGACCATCTTATATGGGTACAATATGGGAGTTTACAATGCTAAACTGATTTTAGTAATTGATTAGGTTCTATTGGTCTCACATATTTAAAGGTCCGTCGCAAATATAATCATTTTTTTTTCTTACTGAAATATGTTATTTTAGTTTATATTTATTTCTACACCATATGATATTATATAACTTTTTATTCGTTTGAGAAGTTCGCAGTCACGTGGTGGGCTAATCGGATGGTGACCGGAAATAATGAAATGGCGTTTAATAGCAATTTGCTACGCCCTTATTCTCTATTTTTTAATTAGCACGTTGATGACACATGCAGCCAGAAATTGACAAAGTTTCGATGATTTTACCAGCATTAAAATAATAAACTGTTTTGGATATTTAATTAGTACTGTTCAAATTAGCGATTCAGAAACACATTAACAGAACAGATATTTTATGAGAAACAATCACTTGTAGAAAAGTCGTACTTATATAATAAAACCAGTGATTGTTACTGAGATTGTGTTCTGTTTAGAGAACATGTGTGTACCATTACATTAGTGATATGATGATACATGTAGTATACTAGTCTATTATATACTATCTTTTATATCTACTCATGCCTATATTTAAACTGGCACGTTATCGTATTATACTTCTGAGAACATTGCCATTTATTCCACGTATTTAACGGATCACTTTGGTCACATGTATTTATTTTATTTTGAGTAGTATTGCGTATTATATATGTGTTAGATAATCTGCTAGACCAAACAGTGCCATATGGCACGACCACTTACTACGTTTTGAAATCTGACCAGAAAAACGCTCCATTTGAAATAATATCAACCTGTAAAAGCATCAGTCTTTCTGATTAATTCGTGTAACATGCAGGGCCGGCGGAAGCAATTCTTGGTTGGGGGAGGGGACTACCATCCTTAGACTTTAGGTGAGGATCCAGCAGGTCTAGATCGTCTGAGAGGTTTTCTGGGAGATTTCTTGCTAATTCTTTTCTAATTCCCTTTCCATGAAAACACGGTCGATGATGGTTTCACGTAATGCTGAACTGGACAATTACAAGAGTTGTGTACACTCTAAAGGTCACAAGTTTTATCCGATTTTGATGAAACTTACAATGTATGTTTATAACCCAAAGAGCACGGATCCTGTCGATATTGGCGCATATTGGACTGTTACTTCCTGCATTATTTTCCTTGAATGTTCGAAAAATCACATTTTTAGCTTGAGCCCTATAGATTTTATTTCTTCCTCAGTCATTTCTCGCAAAATGTGGGCGTATCTTGCATGTCAACCGCCTGTTTTAACTGGCCATTCCTGATAGCAGTGAATCGGTTTTTTTAATTACCTGTTAATTCCAGTCATCTTCCAGTTACGTAATTGTATCTAACCGAATAGTTGCTTGCGTGCAATAACCCAGAGAAAGGAGTACCTGCGGTCAAATTTGCCCCTTTCCCCCACTCCGCTGGGCCTGACATTTCTTTTAATGACAACTTAAAGGGTGCTGATATAAAATATTATGGTGAACTGGTCACAAGAACTTTAATCATTACTATCATGCGTGAATGTTAGGAAGTACCTGATGTTCGCTAAATGTCTAAAAATTGAGTGATTATCGCATGTATCGAACTCTTCGAAGTGGTTCATTTGATTAGACCTAATCCCACTCAAGCACTGCTATACTCGCCGCAAATTTCTGTCCCAAATTATGATTGGTTGAAGAGTCCGATCAACAACCAATACATTACTATGTAACAAAATCAATCGGGATTAACTAGCTCTAAATATGTTGTATCATAAAGTCTGTCATTGAGTCGACTGGCGTGGTTTCGAATCCCCGGTTGTACGTGACAAGGAGTAGGGTCGCCTGTCCAACCTCGTGGGTTTTCTCCGGGTCCTCCGGTTTCCTCCCACTTCTAAAGACCCCTATGCGCAAGCGAATTATTGAAATAAAATTAAACCATATGTTAGTCCCGAAATGACCTAGTTTGTGTCGAGTGGACGTTAAACCCCATTTCTCTCTCTCTCTCTCTAAATATGTTACCATAAAGTATCTGGTGACAATCACGGCTACATTACGTCATAACGCGCGAAATGTATTACGCTCAATTAACTAGTGCGTAACAGAATATTGCAGAGAAAATAATTGTGTGATAAATGAGGCTATCCAAAATAGCTACAATGTAACACTAAGTAATCGCCGCGCACGTGGAATCTTTTTATCATCTCCTAGAGCACACAGTAGACGAACAATATTTCCACTGTCTTTTAATACATTTACTCAACTCCCAGAAGACCCCAGATCAAAGAGAAGGACCATCATGTTACGTATGTGTTTCACCAAACTGAATAGAAATACGACACGTATTTCTTTGATAAAATAAATATTTCATGGATTTTATTTACAAAAATGGATATATATTATTGAATACTTAAAGTTGGGCAGTAATAATTGGTATAAACATACACGTTTATAGAATTTATATCGGAGATTAGCAGTCAAAGGATTTTCGTTCCAATAGCGAGTTTCAGCGACGGCCAAATTTACCGATATCGATGTTTGCATCCAGGGCCAGGGTAAATATTTTCTTGAAATCAGCACTAAAAAATTATAAAGAGGTCACCCCCGTTAAGCGGTAGTCATGAAAATTCCCTTTATTTTACTGTACTTAGGAGAGATTTGATTGGACGATGAGAATGGACAGACCCCGTCAAAAACTCAAGTTTTCAGTCAGTATAGCAATGGCTAGAGACGGGTTTCTCGGACCATTGCTTCAGGAATATGCACATGTATATGCTCACCGTTCTTTGTTTTACGCTGTGAACACCCCGTAATTCTTTAGGTAGCTGATTATTTTATTGTATTTAGCAGGTACGACACAATTTCTGCTGACTCTACGTACAACCACTTATGTCCAATTTATCTTCTACCAGCATCTTTATTTTCTAAAATTTAAATCCTACTTGACACCCCATTTAGTTCTAGCTTATAGAAGTAATATAATGACTGACCTTCTAGAACATCTTCCATCACTGATTATGTATATAGATAACTATGTGTTTAGTATTTGTACATTGCTATGTGTTACACAGTAAACGTAATTCACAACCAGCGACTTGAATTAGTGTTCTGTTAAAACAATTGCATTTTCAGTTTATAATCTGATTTTTCGTCTAGAAAACCAGCACATCCACTAACTATTACTTAACATATTACTTAACAAATTGTAGTACTTACCAATATACTTCTACGATCACAATAAATTCTACTATTCTGTATAATATTGAATCAATACTTGATATCCTGAAAACACCTAAAGTAAATTACACTAATTGAGTATAGTAACTACCCTTTACACTCAATCCTACTACGCGTATTAAATAAATCAGATTATACCTTCCTGACAGTAGAGGAAACTCGGGGAGATACAAATACAGTTAGTCAGCTGACGGCACGAAACATGAGCTAGCTTTAACGTTAAGTGAGAACTCTCGAAGCAGCACAGCCAAAAATACCCAAGTTCTTAAAATATTCCTGGTGCATTGAACGGTTTATTCACGTTCAACTGTGGCATCTTATCGTCTTTTCTTACGTAGAACATTATGTAGACATCACGTGTGAACTAATTACGCACTAATGTGTAAAAAATAGTTATTTCCGCGCTTTTTTTAGATACTCGGATCACTGCTTTTGTCTAAATGTAAAATAGTATATGTAATACAATTTGGACAGAACGTATAACACCTTTTACCAGCCAAACATAAATGATGCAAGAGATAAATCTGCCTATTGCAGGTCTCTCTTTAGGCCTAAAATAGTATCTAAATTATTAAATAGACATTAATCAACTTATTAGACCATAATGAACTCTCGAAGCCATCACCAGCCTGTGATATTTACTGGATTTGAATACATTTTTTGATGGATGATTTAAAGTCAAAATAGATAACCGAAGCTTTGTTTTTATCGTACCGACCGTAGTAATGATGATCGAGACTATGCCTAAAATTCAATCGCTAATATCTCGGTTCAGAGTGGAGCAATCTGACTGGAATTTTCAGCATTATCTTTTTTAACTATTATAGCGAGAACTGTCAGCTCTTTGTGTAATCTTCGAATGCTCCTTTAAAGCATTCAATACACATTAGTAGAAATCAGTGGGCTTCGACTATGAACAAATGCGATCAGTATATTGGGGTTGTTTCCGAAACCTGTTGAAATTCATGAAAAGTCGGTGGGACTCCAGACATATGACATTTAGATCATCGATTTGTACAAATCTGAATCAATAGATTTTATCCAACTACCAACTTACAGACTATTTAAGGATTTGGTTAATTTGTGGAGTTTATGGGTGTATAAAACTTCAGTTGGTCGCTAGTTAAATTCATCACGGCTTGTGAAGTGAGGTACACGGCAACCACACAGACAACTCCTAAATGCGCCAGTAATCACCAAGGTATTCTATCTCGTGGTCAATTGTAGATTATCGGTTGGTGAACTCAATTACTATGTCGTTTTATTATGAAGTTTACGTAAAACACACCAGTCGTACTGTAAATATTTCCAAGTAGTCCACTATCCAAAATTTTTCATCGATTCTCCAAGCAACCTTAAGAGTTTGTTTGAAGTGGTTAAGTAATTTGAGTACATATACATTGTAAAAGAAAACAACACAGAAAATGTAGACATTATAATTAAAGTAGCTAAGTCTCTAACTCAATATCATCAAAAGTCTTCCACATTGAAAACACGAATTACTTGTCAATTCAAATCAACATTGGTCTTGTGACCTTACAGGGAAAAGATGGGCTTCTGATATCCAATATTCAAGACAAAATAAACATTTTACCATTGGTACACGAATCGTGTACCATAATGCGTTTCAGCGCCATTTGGAACAAGGGACTAGACATATTCCACAAGTCATGTCAAATGGTGACGCTATATTCTTATCTGGGGAGCATGCGCAATAAATATCATCGGTGTAGACTGGAATAACCAGACGCTAAAGATAGCCATTCAATTGAGACTTCTGGCGTATTTCGCCGAACATAACTGATTAGGAATTACAGTAAAAACAGAAACGGTTGAATGTAAACCATTTCTATACATTCACATTACATTATATGCGTTGCGACCCATTTGTGTCAATTTCTAGGTCCCAAATATTAGCGATTTAGCTCCTTTAAGGATACATTATTCAAGAGATAAAACTGCATATTGCAGGCCTTTCTTTAAGCCTTAAATGTTATATAAACTATTAATTAAACATTTATTAACATGTCCAGACCATAATCAATTCTCCATTCTCCGCGGATTTAAAAATGATTCGCAGTTTATGCTTTAATTAAAAACCGGATAATCGAATCGAGACACCGCTATTCTCCAAACAGCCCTATATAGCTCAGAACGAAGTAATTTGATTAAAGTTTTCAACATATTTCCTTTTTATTATTCATTTTTAACTATTATAGCGAGAACTGTTAGTTCTTTATCTAAATCTTACATAATGCATCTTTAATATAAAATGATATCACTTGATAGATTGGTTAAGTGGTTAAGGTGACTCTGAAAGAACCATGCTATGTTTCCTGCCCTGCAATAAAATATATTTCATTTCGTTTTTTTCCCCCAATAATTTTGATAACCCGATTTCGTTTTTGAATGCAAAGAAACATAAATATGAACTATTAAGAACGAAACGAAATAATCTTTGTGTTATAATCAGATTATGTATTTTATGATTCATGAATATGGCCTTATGTTTTACACTAGGAAAAAAAAGCTGTAGGCTACAACATGAAAACGACAATAAACGATACATGAATTAAAACTGACCGGTATTATATCTGTACAATTTTCCTAATATGTACATAATTATATATTTTTCATTGCTCACAAAATCACGAAAATATCCAAATAACAAATTCATTTCAACGAAAGCTTACAAAGTTAACATCTGGCTGCCCATCTGTGTTGAATATAAATTGATATTCCAGAAAGATAACAAAAGAATAGACTAGTAGTTTCTGCAAGGTTTCAGTGAGCAGTCATGATTTTGGGGCTACAGGATCGATAAGTAAACATACATGAATTAGGGAAGTCATGTACACATATGACGATATAGCCTATAGCTTACTTTCACCGAGATGTTCAACCCCTTCAGTATTTTTATCAGAGGATTGCGACATATTGGGCTCTTTGTGGTTATAAATATAAGATTAAGATAATCGAAATGCGAAATGTTAAAAAAATGTTAAAGGCCAAGAAATGTCATGGCTTTAACATTACTAGTTCAACTCCTGATATAAACCCCGATTACCTCCCTTTCTATGTAATTTTGTCATATAGAATGTTTCAAATAGTCTACCCGAAACAGCCTAACAGGACATCATAAGGAACAAGCGGTTGCCATGCAAGATACGCCCACGTTTTAAAAGAGATGGATTGAGAGTAGGTAACATGAAATAGGGCCCATCCTCTCTCTCATTGTCCCCAATGTCTCACGTCGAATTTGAACAAAAATTAGTTAAAAAATGATTCAAGATTTACCATTATAATTTAACCTGCCATACACATGTTGATAAAGGCTCAGTTTTAAAATTAGTGTCCTGTTGGTCAAGGCTATTGCACAGCTTTGGGTACAATGAACAATGATCAATTAATATGTTTATTATAACATTCTAATATTCTCCAGCCTACTGTATATTAACTGTGTTCGTGGGATCAACCGGGGAAAGGGCCTAATTTGCATAAATTCAAAATGGCTACAAAATGTAGCTTTTGAATTACATAATTCCTTTAATATGGAGTTTTCACCTTACAAAGTATCACGAATAGAAACATGACCCCCCCCCCCCTCTGTGAGTCAGAATATCTAGACAGAAATTATAATAAATCAACCACTATGACGTCATCATGTCTTATTTTGAAGTTAAATTATAATGTCAGCATACAATTATTTAAAAAAAACCCAACAACCCCTGACTCATCTCCAAGAAAGACATTAACTGATAGTCCTGAACTGTTCAATTTTTTGGAAAGTCTTAGTAGTCTATTACATATCCAAAGTAGGGTTTATCTTATTCAAGATCGAACTCTTCTTGGTTCTGCACAACACAGCGAAACCTTTACATTCGCTGAGTCAGTACACTCTAAACTGTGTCGGCTTAATGACAGGGTCTAAAATAACGTGCCCTGGAGCACGAACGTGCTTCGGAATAAAAAAAAAAATCAGCTTCGAACATAAGAACGCCGTGCTCTGAAAAAAAAAATAAAATGGTGTACCTTGTTACTGATAGAATTTTAGTTCTGATGTTGATGTGATGATAGAATTTGAATTATAATTCAAATATTATCATAACAAAAGTGTTGTTATCTTCCCAGTGCTGAGTTTTCATGCGAAAAAATCTGCGCTTAGCCAAATAAACTCCTATATTAACTGCGCCAGAATAGTAAACAGATGCCGTTTTTCAGCTCTAAATTTTCAAATTTGTCTTTTTTTGGGGGGTGGGGGGGAGGCTCCGCAAACCCCTCGCCGGCGCACTTCACACCTCCAGCGCCCACGGGCAGTTGGCTTTAACCTTATTTTAGGCACTGATTAATGGTGCACTTTGCTGTGCCACAGTAGATGCTTTTGAGGATTGCCACTGGAACTGTATGGAAGGGTATCGCTGCCAATATTAAATGCTCTGCTAAAATGTAGTTTCCATTGATTTAACTGGTTGTAGTGTACCAAAAAAGCTTTCAAAAATGGCATCTACAAGTAGAGAAGAATTTTTTAAAACATTGCAATTTTATGTATTTATATTGAAATTAAAAATGTAATAAAAATTTTGGCGGAAAAAATATATGGTTAATAAATTAAAAAGAAAAATTGGCGGGAAAAATGGTACAATGTACAAAGTTCTAATACCGGTAATGATAAAGTCAATATACCTCTAAGGCCAAAGTTAACTGTAAAACGTCAAATGTAATGTGTCAAATGACTGGAAAATTTTACATTTGTCTCATTACATTGTACGTTTGCGCTCTGCCTTCACGCTTTCTACATAGCATCTTACGCAGAGCACTACATATGCAAATGTAGGATATCACGTGATTTATTTACTTTGTACATTGTACTTTTCACTATCTTTTCACTAAACTTTCCGCTTTCTAGTGTTTCCATTGTTCGCCAACCATACAGACACAACATGACCTCTTCCTCCGCAGTTTTAATTTTATCATTTGTGGATTGTTTGCGGAAGTTCTAATCCAAACAATCTGGATGTTGTGGCACACACACCCAGCCAGCTGTGGCATGCAGAAGTGAAAGGGGAGCAGCCATTTTGACGGGAAGTACCAATGCGATTTTCACGAAATCATTTATATATAACATTTGAAGCTATATAAAGACCTGCAATAATGCATCCTTTAGAATATCGAAGTGTTCAAAACCTTTGGATTTATCTCCCTTTCTCATTTTAGATGCACTTATACAATAATCAAATAACTGTAAAGATCACTATCTATTTGCATACGTAAATTGACATGATTAACTGACTGTGGA